GCTAAGAAATGAAAACTCCAAAGTGTGGGCTGGCAATAGGTACCCAGGCCTAGCTCTCTGCTGGGTTCAAAAATCTGGGTGATCTGTTGTCTGATCATGTCAGGATCTTCTAAGAGGTCCCACGTTCCCAAGAGAATTAAGTATACATTCCTTCCGATGCTGGTTTCTACGGTCTTCCACGGGGGGGTGGCTTGGAGGGAACAATCCGAAGTAGTTTAAGGAGACTTATATCGTGCTGAAATAGTTGAGGAGCTCACAGCAAGATAAATGGGGAAAGAGAGCCCGGTTGGTGAGCCATTCGCAACAAAATGTCTCTTGCCCTGTCATACCCTGTCTTACCAAGAACCATGCTGAACAAACCAAAATTTTAGGAATCGCCCTGATTCTTCTCTTCCTGTCTCTTCCTACAGCCATTCCGTCCGCAAATCTTGATGTGTCTATTTCCAAAATAGAAATTCCTATTCACGTACCCCATTCCTTGCCACTAACACCTCTCCCCAGGGCTACTGTGGGAGCCTCCTAAATGGTCTGCTTGCAGTCCTGCCTCCTTCCAGTGCATTCTTCTGTTAATGTTCTTTTATTTATTTATTAAAGATTTACTTATTTGAGAGAGAGAGAAAACATGTGCGCATGGGGGGAGGGAGAGACTTCAAGCAGACGGGCTGCTGAGCACACACCCCGCTCTGACTCTGTTCTCTATCTAACAACCCAGAGATCATGACCTGAGCTGAAACCAAAAGTCTGATGCCCAACCGAATGAGCTACCCAGGCGCCCCTCCTTTATCACCAAGTTACATTATTGTGATGATTTATTTCTTTTCGTCTGTTTCCTTCACTAGAATGCCAGCTCCATGAGGGTAGGGGGCCAGCTCTGTTTTATTCCTCACTGTATCCCAACTTCTGACACATTGAAGCTTCTTGATCAATACACATGATCACTTGAACAATACACAAGTGAATACATAACTTTAAATATTAAGTCATGTTTGGGTTTTTCTTTTAAGATATTATTTATTTGACAGAGAGTGAGCATAAGCAGGGGGAAATACAGAGGGAGAGGGAGAAGCAGGCTCCCCACTCAGTGTGGATCCCTATGCAGGGCTCGATCCCAGGGTCCTGGGATCATGACCTGAGCTAAAGGTAGACACTCAACCGACTGAACCACCCAGGTGTCCCTTAAGTCACATTGTAATTTGTTTACCCAGAAAATTCTTACAAGACTGGTTTCCCAGACTGGTGAGTGGAATGGGGAAAAAGGACCTTCTATATTTTGATGACTCCTGAAAAGAACCTGAAAACAGCATGTTGGGAACACAATTTAGAGCAGGAGTTACAAACACCAGTGTCTCAGGGCTCAGGCAGGTGACACCAATCTTGTGTAAGCCACAATGACTGATGGAGCCATGACAATCTAGAGACCTCATAACATCAGCTAATGTAGTCTTATCTGTTCAGCCAACTGTGGCTGAATGACAGTAGCATCCAGGGGTGTAAGATCTCCCAAGTTTTCAAAAGAAGATGAAGTTTGTATATCAACTAGAAGTGGGTTTGTATATCAACTAGAATTGTAATGACTTGAAACAGTAGCTTAAATGAGGTAGAAGTATATTTCTTTCTCACAGAAAGAGGTCTGGGGTGTGCAATCCTAGACTCAAGGAGGTTCAGTGGAATGAGGGACCTAAATTTCTAATTGATTGCTTAGCTCAGCATGGCTTCCATTCTCAAGGTCACCTCATGACCCAGCACATGGCTGTGGCTCCAGCCATTACCTCCTCATTCCAGGATGCAGGAAGGAAAAGGAGAAAGAAAGGGCCTGACTATTCTTATACAAGGAGACTTCCTGGAAACTTCCATGCCCCACTACTATTTCATTTCATTGGCCAGAAATAAATTGTACAACTACTCCTAGCTGCAAAGGAGGCTGAAAAATATAACCTTTTTTTCTAAGTGGACATGGGCCCAGCTAAGGAAAAAGGGGAAGATGGATATCGGAGCTGGTTTTTTCTTGAAATTCTTGGGTTTTAACAGCATGACAGGCAAACAGAGCATGTCTGCCGTCTGGTTCAGCAGAGGAGCTGCTGTTTGTGAACCCTGTTGGGGGAGCAAACGTGGATGAGATACATCTTTGTGGAAGGTCGGGTAACCGGTGAGTGGGGCTGGTGAGGGTCATAAGCAGGTGAAGGTTAATAGGGCTTCAATAGGGAGTCCGAACAGAAGTGTGTTCAGGTAGCCTGGGGTAGTGGGGAGCACTGTAGAGGTGGTGGCGGGAAAGGGTGGGGACGTACGGTCCTCGGCCTATGCACCCAGGAGCGCTTGGGGCGTGGGCAGTTCCGGGAGGTCCCTTGCTGCCCCCACTGCGCTCACCTTGAGGTCTTCGCAGCTCTTCCGACGGGTGTGATTTCAAGCTCCTCTAAATCGTGAGGTCTCTCCTCTTTCTCACCTTCACCAAAGGTGCCCTCTCAAACTAGGTCAGGGTCACCCTCTCAGGAGGGATAAGGAAGCCTGGGCCAGACCCAAACTCCGCAAGCTCACCAGCCCTCCCCAGTCACTGCTGGCACCCCCCTCAGACTGGGGCTCGGCTTCCTCTCAGACTTTGTGAAACGGCTCCGTCTCCCAGGCACGTTAGACCTTCTTGCCAGGAAAGGACCACGCTATATATTGGGAAAACCACTGGATTTGCAGGCAGCATTCTTCCCTTAAGTCCCTGGTCCATCGCTTACTAGTTGAGTGACTATAAATACTTCTATAACTGTCCATTGGAGAACAGTGGTCTCCTTACCTACTTCATAAGGCTTTTTGAAGGGTTCACAGAGATCACGTGTATGAAAGACCTTTCTATCAAAGAAGAAAAAATCTGAACACCCCTGAATACAAATTTTCGCTTCCAGTAAAGACTCTCTGTATTGACCATATGTTTGAAATCGATGACTTTATTGACACAAACTTGGCAATAGAAAGTGTGAGGTTAATAGGATCATGAGAATCAGTTCTTGTATCAAACACACATGAAAAAGTTGCCAGGTGAATTTGCAGCAGCGTGGTTGAACTTCTGGTCACTATCTTTGTGAGATCCAGATTGTTCCAGGGAGGGGCAGCTCCTACCTGCCCTTCATTCCCCCAGGAGTGAGACCTTATTCCTATATGAAACAGAGACACCCTCTCGAGTTAAATTCCAAGCGACTTGTAGCAGTTTAGTGATGCAAAAACAAGGATGTGAAGAGAAACTGGTGTCGTCCATGACTGACAGCACATGACGGGGGCAGGAACACGCCACACAAACACAACACGCATGCCCTGCGAGAATGAGCCCTTGAACTTGCAGGATCAATTCCAACCTTTGGCAGTTGGGGGCTCCTGCTGAGTGATGCCAGTGGGGCCACAGGATTCACAGGTTTTGCTTTTATTTTATCATTATTTTTTCATTTTCAGAACATGAAGTTCCCTAAAAGCCCTTTCTCAAAGAACCACAAAACGGCAGAGGTTTGGGAAAAAACTAGTTTTGCGTAGGGTAAAGGCTTGTGCAGTGATCAGGAGAACACCCAGATCTAGGGTTTAAGAGAGAAACCTATTCTGAATGTAAAAGTGAGTTCCACTGTGCAATGATTCACAATTATACCTTAGGGTTGAAGGTCATCCCCTAGTTATTAAGTCCGCTGTTAGATTCAGGATGTACCAGATTGACCAGCCAGACTCCAAATCTCTTAGCATCAGCAAGGTGCCTGGTGCAGGGTTGGTATTTAATGTTAAATGAATAAACGCACAGTCTATGGAAGGAAGGAAGGGGGGAGGGCGGGAGGGGTACCATGTGCTCGTGTTTGAGTTATAACAAAATTGGCAAGAAATGAGGCCGAGTTTCTAAATTTTAATCTAGGCATGTCAATTCTCTGGGCCATATTATATAAACACACACATCAGGCTGCCTCTTTCTGCTAAACAGGGAGTTTATTGGTATCGTCTGATACACCTTTAGTCCTACCTTTCCCAATCCAGGTGTGTTAACAGTCCTTTAAAAATCATATTCCGTTGATCTGGAGGAAAACAGTTCCACCTTAACATCTTTAAAGAAATGTTAGATAACTTTAATCTATCAAGATATTTTTTCCTGCCTCTGATTAATACAGCGCGCATCGGTCTCATGGCAACGTGAATGTACAGCAACCAGGGCTGGGCTTTCTAAGGTGATTCCTTTGCAGACAGCAGGTGGCACGTCCTGATGCCATGTCTGAGAGGCCAGAGTGAAGCCGTGAGTGCTGCTGATGGGTTCTGGGTCATCTTCTTCTTGTGAGCTGTGTCCGCGCTTTGATCAACAGTTGCAAATGACCCACGGGGAGAGAAGAAACCCGGAAGAGCACAGAGTGACCTGGAAAACTGCACGTGCAGCGTGTGGCTGAGCCCTTGGAGTGTCCTAGGTTGGGTGCGTCGACCATGGTGACAGTGATACTGCGGTATGGAGGCTGATGTGGACACTGGGATGGGGGGGACATGGAAGTCTGATGAGGAATGAGTGAGACTGCCTCGTGGAGAGAGCTCCTGAAACACAGTGTGGGTGTTGGGGGGGTTAGCTGGTGTGAAACGGGATCTGCATCTGTCTCCTACTGAGCTAAGGAAACAAGAAGATCTGGGAGTCTTCCTGCGTCTCGATTTCTCCTATATCTGGATTTGCAGTCAAGTGAAAGACAACTTTTAAGTGAACGCAGTATTCAGTACTCTGATGGCAGTATTCAGAAAGGAAGAAAGAACGAAAGAATAAGCTGACCCAAAACAGTGCACATGAGCCCGGGCAGGAGCGCTTAGAACCCACGGGAGCATCTCTCACCAGGGAACCTATTCCTACTTTGTTTCAGCAGCCCCCCTGTGGCTGCACTCACCACTTTTATAGCAAACCACACTGCAGGAGCTGCAAAGAGGCAAACCGCACGTTTGCAGCTTGGTACCCTATGCAAGTGCTGTGCTGATACAGCTACGCGGTAAGTGGGAGGCTGGGAATGTCCCCGAAGCCCAGGCAGGCACTGGGCTGCCAAGTACAGTTTCTCAAGGCAGCAGCATCTTCACATCCAGCAAGGGCCACCCACTTTTTCGAGTCTCCTAGGTGGGGTCCAACACGTGGAGGGCACAGAGAAGTCCGTCTGCCCTGCTAGTTAATGTAATTCTTCGCCATTCTTCGGTTTCTGTCCACCTGTCGGATGCTGTCTGGAACGTTAATGGTGACTTCTTTTGCAGACATTCGCTTAGCGTCTCTTTTAGCCTGTTAAAAAGTTTAACGTCATGAACTGAGTTAGTAGAAAATACACAAATTTGCATTTGTCTCTTGAGATTGTAACGTACACACACACACACACACAAACACACATAGAGGCAGGAAGAAGAACCCGCTAGAACACAAGCATGTAACTCCTTTTCAAAGCTTTCTCTGTTGAGACTCTAATGCTGACCTAGCACAGAGCCTAGCATCAGGCATGCTCAGTAAAACACTGTCCAATGAATGAATTGCACTGATTGGCGAAGGTCCGTCCAAGGGTAGTGTGGAAGGTTCCACAGTTTGCATTAGTAAAGCAGTGAAGGCGTGCAGCTTTGGAGCAAGACTTTGTGGTTCAAATACTGACTAGACAATTTCACCAGGAGCAAGTTTTTTCTAACCTAACCCTCAGTTTTCTCATCTGTAAAATAGGGAATAATAATAGCACCCATCTCACCAGATTATTGTAAGGATTAAATAAGATCATGCATTAAAGTACTCAGCATAATGCCTGTCACTAAAAAAAAAAAAAAAATGACCACAAAAAGATTTAGTAAGTAAAAAGTAAGACAGATTATCCACTTCAAAGTGAAGATAAGCCAATGATAACAGTCCGGCGTTCATACTAAATACTAAAGCACGGACTAAACTGTAGGTTCCTCAACTACATGTATCCCACCTCAAGAGTAAACTTCAACTAGTGGGGAGTGATTTTGTGCCCCTTCTGCTCAACTGTATGCTTGGAGTGAGCATGAGAGGGTCATGGGAGTTGTCTCCACAGGGGATGGACAGAGACGGGTGCTGCCACGGGGACCAGCTGCCTAGCTCCTGGGAGTGCAGTCAGTAAATCCCTTCCAGATGTCCCCGTGGAGTGCTCAGCTGTAGAAAGCCACCTCACCCCGGGTCCTGCACTTACCATGGTGGCCCAATGTGGGGGTACAAACATCTGGCCCTTTTGGCACAAAGCAGACCAGCTCTGACAGGCCACTGGGCTCTAGAGTTCCCCATGGGGTGGGGTCAGCCGCTGCTCAGCCGCATCTGGCTGGCTCACCTTGTCCCTTGGCCACTCCCACTTCCATCCCTCCTCTCCACAGGGGCTGATGCCCAATGAGCATTTTATATAATGACACTTCAATGTCACACCTGAGGGAACATCTCCCCATACTGGGCATGAGTGTGAATAGATGCACATTCTTAATATAATATGGCCCCTGATTCAAGCCAGCTACTTTATCCAAAGTGCATCCAAAGACATGGATGGACTACGGGGCCACTGGAGAAAAAGAAACTGGCCTGTTTGATTTACTAAGTGATATGCAGTTTGTAACCTGTCACATGAATGCTGTGTAGCAGACCCCAACTGCTGTTGAGTGTGGGTAGCACCCGGTTTTGAGAATTGCCTTCATCTGACTGGAACCATCTGGCCCAGAAATGCGACAGAGGTCACACCCTTATTCCTGGAGGCAGCCCAAAGCCAATGTCTGATTGTCAGGGATACAAAAGACTGGCCATTTTGCTTCGAGGGGATATAAATCTAGGACATCTTCATGCTCCAGAACCCCCGTGGGATCAGACCCCCTGTGGGATTCAGCGGAGCTCACGCATTTGCTGACCTGGGTCCTCTGCCCCTCCTGCTTCCCTGACTACCATACAGGCTTCACATGAGACGACTCGTTCCATCAAGTCGTCTCATGGTTTGCCCAAGAATCCTCTTCTCAGGCTCCGCTTCTGGGGAACCTGACCTAAGAGTAATTTATGGGTGATCTGCGGGGCATTTAAGGGATAATTTTGACTACTTGCAATTTCAGTCCTTTCCGTTGATGTCTAGAGCTAGGACTTCACTGTTCTCTTCTTTATGATCCCAGGGCCTAGCAGCGTCTGACGGAGCAGGTTCTCTCCACTGGAGTTTGGTTGAATCGTGGATAAATGAATGAATGGGCACACTGCATTTGCCAAAGCGCCCTTGTTTGAGCAACCAGAAGTCCATGCCGTTTTAAGGATTTAGTCTTCTCAGCTCTTCCAGGACTGAACTGGCACTAGGGCAAGCGGTGACTTTGATGGGTTTCTTTTTCCCTAAAAGCAGAGAACTCCTGAAATCCCACAACCAAGTTTGTCTTCTAAAGAAAAGTGCGACAATTATGAGGCCATTTCCACCGCTCTGCATTTCGGGCGTTGCTGCATCAGCATGGTGGACCCGGCATGGAGACACAGAGGCTTTATTCGACAGCAACTTTACCCTCAAACCGGTAGGCAGTACGAGAGCTCTCCAGGATGGAAATGTAAACTTTCCAAATAGTGTAACTGCTTTTCTGTAGAGTTACTGGCAAGACTTCACAAAAGGCTGTTAAAGATTATACACAGAAAATGCTCTGCTCTATATTTTAGTCTGCTTTTCTAAGCTTAAAAATATAAGCAAAAAATTCAATAGTTGGCTGATTCTTCATTTCCTCGCCCGTTTGAGGGTCCAAAGCTACAAAATAGTTGTTCCCAGAACGGCCACAGGATATGTATGGCTTTAATCTCAAGCACAAGGGGGCAATTTCTGTTTTTTCTTTTGGCAGTTTCTTAACTCCATATATCCCAAGCCCCTCTGGTGGCGGCATTTAGGGCGCAAACTTTGGGGCCCACAGAGGGACACTCAGGGCAAGGTTCTGTCACCAGTTAGCTGCTGTGAGACACGTTGCTTTACCCTCTGAGTCTCAGTTCCCTTACCTGAAACATGGGGCAATAATGCCTGATTCTTTGTGGGGCTTTTTGAGAGAATTAAGCACATCAGTCCACACTAATAAGGTGACCAACTTTTCCCAGTTGGCCCAAGACTGGCCCGTTTTTAAAACTCGAAGTTCTCCATCCTGGGAACCCACTCAGGCCCCCGCAAACCAGCACAGTTGGTCAGCCCAGTTAGAGCTGTCATTAATTTTATTTGCAAAGTGATGATGTCAAACATTCTGAATTTCAACTGGAAATCACCTTATTCTACCAGAACTATGGCTCTCGATCCTACTACTTCTAAACAACACCGACCGTAAGCCTGCGGGGCCCGCGTGTGGAGAAAGGGCCGCCGGAGGTCTGTACTCCAGTGACGGGTCCAGGCTCTAAGCCATAAATGATTCCCCTTTCCAAGAATTACGCTGTATGAACCCTATCCAGTTAAACAGAACAACAAGGCGTTCTCCTGGAAATGCTTTGGGAAAGAGCACCTTTCAAGTTGGAGGCATCTGCAGAAAGTCAACCTCCCACGCACAGCAGCGTAGACCCTCACGGGGTCAGTCATTGCCGGAATCCAGTTACAACTTAGAAATCTCAGATTGATTTCTTTTCTTTTCTTTTCTTTTCTTTTCTTTTCTTTTCTTTTCTTTTCTTTTCTTCTCTTTTCTTCTCTTTTCTTCTCTTTTCTTCCTTCCTTCCTTCCTTTCTTTCTTTTCTTTCCTTTCTTTCCTTTCTTTCTTTCTCTCTTTCTTTTTTTTTAAGGTTTTATTTATTAATTTGACAGAGGGATAGAGAGCACAAGTAGGCAGAGCGGGAGGCAGAGGGAGAGGGAGAAGCAGGCTCCCCCCTGAGCAGGGAGCCCGATGTAGGGCTCGATCCCAGGACCCCGGGATCACGACCTGAGCTGAAGGCAGCCACTTAACTGACTGAGCCACCCAGGCGCCCCAGAAATCTCAGATTTCAAGCCCAACTGAGAGGGAGAAAGAGAACTACAATGCCAGATTATCTTCTCTAGAAGCCCTCTTGAGAAGTTGCATTGCCCTCCTACAAGAGAAGAACTATCTGGATACGAGGAACTATTATTATCCCATTTGGTTCCTCAGGCAGTGTATAGAAGAGGCATTTTCCCCTCTGAGGGGCTTCTCAGCCAGCCAAACCTTTTTATTTCACATCCCATTCCCTTTATTTAAGTACAGAAAAAGAAAACACGTCCCATTTGCAATTACTGGCTTTAAAAAAAAAATCTTCTGGTTCACAGCTCAGTGAGGAGAGAAACCTATTTGGCACCTTTTCCCTCTGTGGCTCTCTGCCCATCAATCCTTCTTCCACTTCTAAAATTCTTGCTTTCTGAGTTTTATCACCACTGACTCTTGTTAATGGGCTCCCTCTTGTTTCTCACTCAGCTTTACAGCTTTTCTATTCTTCCCTCTGCCTCATTTTCATTTCTGTAGGTTTAGAACTCTGAATCATGGATTTGGGCTCTCTTGATATTGCCTTTTTAATTAAAAGTAATTTATCAGCTGCCATTTCTCAAGGGTAACCAGACTGACTGATAACTTCCTGGCAGCCATGAACCCGGATGAACCTGTTTCTTTCTTTCTTTTTTTTTTTTTTAAAGATTTTATTTATTTATTTCACACACACACACACACACACACACAGATCACAAGTAGGCAGAGAGGCAGGCAGGCGGGGTGGGGCGGGGGGAGGGGGAGAGCAGGCTCCTCGCTGAGCAGAGAGCAGAGAGACTGGGGAGCTTGATCCCAGGACCCTGAGATCATGACTTGAGCTGAAGGCAGAGGCTTAAGCCTCTGAGCCACCCAGGTGCCCCCGAACCTATTTCTCATGGGGTTTAGAAGTTGAAGACCCAGCTCGTTCTCTGGGGAAGTGGGGGTAGCCATGGCTTTTCCAGGGGCACCTGGACTCGGGGGTGCAGCTGTGTCTGCTCACTAATTCTCATGCCTCCCCCAAAATGGGAATACAGATGTTCTCAACTTTACTTTGACCCCACAAATATATCTATACCTAACACGGCATCACCTGAACCTTTTCACAGTTCCTCACACCAACAAAGAAAAGCAAAGCTTACTGAGATTATGATTTAGCAGACATCAATTTTTCTACAACTGTGTTTTTTATTTATAAAACCAATACATGATTATGGTAAAAGAAATTCAAGGAGTAGAGAAGGCACAATGAAAAGTAACATTGTTCCCATGCTCTGTGCTTTCCCCAGGGGTAACCACAGCTAATGATTTCTCTCTCCCAGTATTCCTTACTTCCTTCCTGGCCTTAACCAT